TCAGCTGCCGCTCGAAGACGTGCCGCTGCCGCTCCCTGAAGCCCGCACTCTGGACCTGCCCGCGGGCGTTCTTGTCGAAGAAGAGAAGAGACGGCATAAGCATGGACTTCCGCAGCTGCGGTTGGCGGTGCGCACAAGGGGGTGCAGGGAGGGGGGAAGGTTTCTTAGAGGGAGGCTGCTTCTTAGAAGGCGCTGGCCTTACACCTATAGAGAAGGCCCGCGCTTTCAAGGAAGCAGGGGTGCTTCTGAGAAGCCCTCCCCCCTCCCCCCACCCCCCTCTGATGGGCCTGTTTTCCACCACCACCACCACCACCACCACTATAAGTTGGAGGGGGGAAGGAGGAGGAGGAGGAGGAGGAGGAGGAGGAGGGCGAGGAGGAGGAGGACGAGGAGGAGGAGGGGGAGAAGGAGAAGGGGGGAGGAGGAGTAGGAGGGGGAGGAGGAGGACCCCCCCTCCAACTGGTGGTGGTGGTGGAAAACACGCCCACCCCCCTGTGCGCGTGGCTGATGCGCGCGGAGTTCTCTTGGACGGAGCCAGGTCCCCCCTCCGTGGCGAGCGAAGCGCGTCAGGGGGCGGCGCCGGAGGCGCCGCCAGAGGGGCCCCGCGCCGATCCAAGAAATCCGCGCGGGGCTCCAGAAGTTCATGTTCATGCAACTCTGTCTTCGTCGATCTTGTCGAAATAATCCAAGCCACACTCGCCCAGGGCCACCGCCTTCTCGAGGCCCATCAGGTCCCACAGCCGCCGCTCCACGTCGTCGGACCACCCGCCCGCGGACAGCGGGTGGATGCCGAAAGCACCGTGCACGCCCTCGTGCGCCAGCAGCTGCTTGCCGGTCTCGAGGGACCCGGCACTGCACGCGACGTGCACGCAGCCGTCGAAGCCCTGCTCGCCGCCTTGCAGGGACGCGCGCCAACCCTCGAAGTCCCTGCCGCTAGCGAGCAGCGATGGCCCGGGCCTGCCATCCGCCTTGGCCTTCTGGGCATCCTCGTGCCGCTCCGCGTTCAGCCTGGGCAGGATCATGTCGAGGTGGCAGTGCGTAGCGCAGCTGCTGCCAGGAGCGCCCCTGGCCCCAGGCTCCCCCCGCAAGCCTGCGACACCTTAGAGCCCCGGGAGCCCTGTGCTTTGGCCTCGACCTGGGGTGCTCTGGATAGGGGGCCAGATGCGAACCCTACCCCTACACCCCACGATTTCTGAGGGGGAGGGTGGGGTTCACTTCGCTCGAAGTGAACCCTCCCCCAGGAACGAAGTGAACCCCACCCTCCCCCTCAGAAATCGTGGGGGGTAGGGGTAGGGTTCGCATCTGGCCCCCTACTGGAGGCCGGTGGGGGTTCCCGTGGCAAGCTTCGGGGGAGACTTTGGGCCCAAGGACGCCTGTGGCAACGCCCGGGGATCCACGAAAGCGCCGCACGACCCGCCGAGCGTCGCGCCCCGCGCCAGCCTGGCGCGGTACCCCTGCGACGGCGTCCTCCGGTGGTCCAGAGGGCGGGGCCCCGAAGGATGAGAGGTCGAGGGCGAGGTGCCTCGGACCATGCAAATTCGGCCCGGGATATCCCTTCCCATCCGATGGGCCACATCCCTCAGGGCTCCATGCGTCTGGGAGCCAACGACGACAGAAACATGACGCTCGGGTGTGTGTGTGTGTGTGTGTGTGTGTGAGGATGGGGATAGGAGGAGGAGGAGGAGGAGGAGGAGGAGGAGGAGGAGGAGGAGGAGTGGGGATATGAGGAGGAGTGGGGATATGAGGAGGAGGAGGAGGAGGAGGAGGAGGAGGAGGAGGAGGAACGTGCCAAGGAGCCCACGACGACGGAAACATGGCGCTCGGAGGGCCGCGCGGGCGTCTCGGAGCGGCGCTGGGCCCCTCTCCCCAGCGCGCCTCCCGTGCCAGGGGCGGCGCGGGAGCCGCCGCCAGGGGGCTGCCAGCGCCGCTCCGAGACATCCGCGCGGGCCTTTGAACGCGCATGCTTCTGTCATCATTTGAGCGACGATCAAAGACGGGTCTTGCGTGGGAAGGGTGAACTGGCGAAACGCACAGCGTCGGCAACCATGTCAGCGTAGTGTGGTCGTGCGGGGCGAATCGTGATATCCACGCACCACGGGCGGCGTACTCGGGGGCATGGCGAGTCATCGATGCGTCATCGATGGTACATCGATGACGCGCCGATGGCCCACGGCCGACGGCGCATCGATGACGCGCGCCGCCCCCGAATCAGTCACCCGTAGTGCATCGATGTCGCGCCGACTAGCTTACATGTCAGTGCGTTGTTGTACACCACTGATCTGCGTGCGACTATGCTGGACTCACGCTCACTATCTTGAAGGGGTGGGGCCGCGGGGATGGGAGGGCGTGGGCCCCTGGGGGGGGGGGGGGGGGAGCATTTTTGATATCCCTCGCGAGGATCGTGGCCCCCTGGGGGGGAGGGGGCGGGGATAAAGGGACCCCCTCTTTTGATCGATGGCCTCCGAGATGGCCCAAATAGGGCCTCCAGGGTCCCCAAGAGGGCCCAAAGAGCGCCCCAAGAAGCCCCAGGAGACCCCCAAGAAGCACCCAAGAGGCCCCCAAGAGGCCCCCGAGCGGCCTCAGAGAGCCCAAGATGACCTCCAAGATGGCTCAGATAGCTCAAGCTGGCTCAAGATGGCCCCCAAGATGCTCCAAACGGTCCCAAGACAGCTCCACGACGATCCCTCGTAAAATTACATTGGGGTCGCGTTCCCAGGGCCCCGACCCCTTGTAAATTACACTGCGTCCGCGCTCCCAGGGCCACGATCCCTCGTAAATTACGCTGCGTCCGAGCCCCCAGGGCCCCGATCCCTCGTATTTTACGCTGCGCCCGCGCTCCAAGGGCCACGATCCCTCGTAAATCACGCTGCGTCCGAGCTCCCAAGGCCCCGACCCCTTGTAAATTTCGCTGCGCCCGCGCTCCGAAGGCCACGATCCTTCGCAAATTGCGCGCGGACCGCGCTGCCAACGCCACGATCCCTCGTGGATTGCGCCGCGTCCGCGCTCCCAGGGCCTCCTGGGGCATGCTGGGGCGCCTAGGTCCCTCAAGTTTTGCCAAACAAGCGTTTCGCTCGAGACAGCCTCGATGTTTTGGCGCGGGGGGCGCACCATCCTCGAGCGGCGGGCACGCAAAAACTCCTGTGGCCAAGGAAATCCGGGAAAAAACAAGCGAATTACAGTCGGGCCGCTGACCCAAGGAACGACAACTAAGGAACGAGGCCACTTTTTTCCAAAGAACCTCATGAAGTCCGATGGGGCACTGGGGGGGCTCGCCGCCCCAAAAAAGCGGAACGCATGCAAACCTAAGGAACGCCCGAGCCCCTTTTGAAAAGCAAGTGTTCCTTGTTCAGCGGCCCGACTGTAGTCGAGACATCCTCGAAATTCCTGCGCGCGGGACGCGGCACGAGGCATCCTCGGAATTCCTGCGCGCGGGACGCTTTTCCGCGTCGCGGTCAGGGCTCCAGACCTCGTTCTTGTTCAAAAGATTCTGCTAAAAATGGCCCGCATCCTTTTTTCACAGAAGAAAACGGGGGTCCGCGAAGCCCGTTATTTATCGAGGATCCGAGCTGGGGGGGTGACTTTCCTCGAGCGGGCACGCGCGAAACGCAATTGTTTTCACGCCGAATTGGACTTCACCTAGTTTTTTATCGAGCGGGAATCCGCCGGCCTCCTTCAAGTCGAAACCGAGTGTAAACAAATTAAAAGAGAACCCTGGGCCCCAGCCCTTTCCGAGAAAAACAAGCGAATTAGTCAAGACATCCTCGAAATTCCTGCGCGCGGGACGCGGCACGCGCGAGACATCCTCTGAATTTCTGCGCGCGGGACGCTTTTCCGCGTCGCGGTCAGGGCTCCACACCTGGTTTTTGTCAAAAGATTCTGCTAAAGATGCCCCATACCCTCTTTTTTTACATAAGAAAACGGAGGTCCGCGGACCCCGTTATCTATCGAGGATCCGAGGTGGGGGGTCGACTTTCCTCGAGCGGGCACACGCGAAACGCATTTGTTTCACGCCGAATTAGGCTTCACCTCGTTTTTCATCGAGTGGAAATCCGCCAGCCTCCTTCAAGTCAAAACCGGAGGTAAACAAACTAAAAGAGAACCCTGGGCCCCAGCCCTTTCCGGGAACAAGCGTTTCGTTCGAAACATCTTTTCGCTCGCGACATCAAGCCCAAATCCTCACGTTCGACCTCCGCCTGGGCGACCTGGACACGTGAAACAAAACGTCTCGCCCGAGACGCTTTCATCACCTCCTCATACTAGTTACTAGACATCCGCCTGAGCGACCTCGACACGTGAAAACAATAGATTCGTTCGAGACATTCTCGAATCGTGTTCATGTCAGACACCCGTCTGGGCGACGTGGGCACGTGAATGCAAGTGTTTCATTCGAGACTATCTCGACACCTCCTCATGCTAGACATCTGCCTGGGCGACCTGGACTCGTGAAAACAAGCGTTTCGCTCGGCACATCCTCAACGCATTTTCAAATTATACATCCGCCCTGGCGACGTGGGCACATGAAACCCATTGTCTCGCTCGATACATCCTCAACACGTCCTCATGCTAGACATCCGCCTGGGCGACCTGGACACGTGAAACCAAGCGTTTCGCTCGAGACATCCATGCTAGAAATCTGCCTGTGCGACCTGGACGCATGAAAACAAGAGCATTGCCAAAGACACCCTCGACAAATCCTCACGCTAAACATCTGCCTGGGACACCTGGGCGCGTGAAACCAAGAGTCTCGCTCGAGACATCCTCAAGACCAGGGTACGTGCAAAGAAGTAGCTCACTTGAGACATCCTCTGAATTCTGGTCACCAAAAGTGGAACAATATATAACGCAAAACAAGAGTTTCGCTCGAGACAACTTCAACACACTCTGCAAAAGCGTTTCGTTCGCTCGAGACATCCGCGACAGACGATCGGGATCGATCGGGGTTTCAAAAACAAGCGTCTCGCTCGGGACATCCTCAACATTTCAATTCGCCGGCCCTCTTCGACCGCGTTATTCATCGCAGGAAAAATTCGCCGGCCTCCTTCAAGTCGAGGCTGGGGGGCAACCAACTAAAAGAAAACCCTGGGCTCAGGCCCCTTGGGGGAAACATGATCGACCCACGAACCCGGAAAGGAATATAGAAATGTAAGACATGGCAGCGTTTCAAAGACACCTGATTGGGCGACGGGCAAATGCAATGATGAGTGTATCGATCTTTATGTACCGTGCTAAGGGCTATGCTGTGCAGCACCGTGCTGAATTGCGATGTGCCATGCCGCGATTGTGCTCTATAGCGTTGTGGATCGAGTCCTCCTTTGCATCCGAGTCCTGACCGATCTGATCTGGGTCGTAAGCTCGAGCTGCCTGAGCACATAGTAGCTGCCCTAGAGCTGATTGGCAAGGAGCCATGCTAGGAGGACGCGCCGCGGAACGTCCCAAGGGACGCGCCAGACGACGTGCCAGGGGACGTGCCATGGGGACGCACCGCGGGACGTGCCAAGGGGACGCGCTACGGAATGTGCCAGTGGACGTGCCACGGGACGTGCCAAGGGACGCGCCGCGCGACGTGCCAGGAGAACTCGCCACGGGACGTGCCACGGAACGTGCCAGGGAACGTGACAGGTCGCAATGCTGAGTGTATCGATCTTGATGTACCGTGCCGAGGGCTGTGCTGTGCTGCGCCGTGCTGAACTGCGATGTGCCATGCCGCGATTGTGCTCTATAGCGTTGTGGATCGAGTCCTCCTTTGCGTCCGAGCCCTGACCGAACTCATCTGGATCTGAAGCTCGAGCTGCCTGAGCACATAGTAGCTGCCCCAGAGCCCATTGACAGGGGGACATGCCAGGAGGACGCGCAGCGGACCGTCCCAAGGGACGCGCCAGGCGACGTGCCAGGGGACGTGCCATGGGGACGCACCGCGGGACGTGCCAAGGGGACGCGCGACGGAACGTGCCAATGGGCGTGCCATGGGACACGCTCCCAGCGCCACGACCCCTCGTAAATTACACTGCGTCCGCGCTCCCAGGGCCACGATCCCTCGTGAATTACACTGGGGTCGCGCTCCCTGGGCCCCGACCCCTTGTAAATTACCCTGCGTCCGCGCTCCCAGGGCCACGATCCCTCGTCAATTACGCTGCGTCTGAGCCCCCAGGGCCCCGATCCCTCGTATTCTACGCTGCGCCCGCGCTCCAAGGGCTACGACCCCTTGTAAATTACATTGCGCCCGAGCTCCCAAGGCCCCGACCCCTCGTAAATTACGCTGCGACCGCGCTCCGAAGGCCACGATCCCTCGCAAATTACGCGTGGTCCGCGCTCCCAACGCCACGATCCCTCGTAGATTACGCCGCGTCCGCGCTCCCAGGGTCTCTAGGGGCATGCTGGAGCGCCCAGGTCCTTCAAGTTTTGCCAAACAAGCGTTCCACTTGAGACATCCTCAATGTTTTGGCGCGGGGGGCGCACCATCCTCGAGCGGGCACGCAAAAACTCGCCATGCTCACGCTAAATCATCGAAAAACAAACGAATTAGTCTAGACATCCTCGAAATTCCTGCGCGCGGGACGCGGCACGCGCGAGGCATCCTCGGAATTCCTGCGCGCGGGGCGTTTTTTCCGCGTCGCGGTCGGGGCTCCAGCCAAACTTCGCTTCTTGTTTTGAAGATTATGCTAAAAGTGCCCCGTACTCTCTTTTTTTACTAAGGAGAACGGAGGTCCGCGGACCCCGTTATTTATCGAGGATCCGAGGTGGGGGGTCGATTCTCTTCGAGCGGGCACGCGCGAAATGCACTTTTTCACGCCGAATTGGACTTCATTTAGTTTTTTATCCAGCGGAAATCTGCCAGCCCTCTCCGGCTGGGAATTCGCCCGCCCAACTGGCCAGAGGCGTGCTAAGATCTCCGGTAACTACTTAACAAGATTTCTAGTTCGCGCGCGCGGCGGCCCATGGGGAGCCCCAGACGAAAAGCCCCCGGGCGATCCCCAGGGGGGAGGCTATTTTTCGCCACCCCTCACCAGGATCGTGGCCTCCGAGGGGGGGGCTGCCAACGACCACCCCCCCCTCCCGCCCCAAAGGGCCCCCAAGAGCCCCCCAACAGGCCCCACGGGAGCCCAATGCGCCGCCAAGGAGCCCCAAGACGCTCCCAAGAAGCCCCCAAGAAGCCCCCAAGACGGCCCCAAGAGGCCCCAAATAGCGTTCCAGGGCCGGCGGAATGAGCGAAGCGAATAAATAAACCTATTAAAAGAGAACCCTGTGCCCGCGCCCTATCCAGGAAAAGATCGCGCTTCGTGAATAACCCAAAGAAGATGCGCGATCGAGCACAGGCCCGATTATGCGTACTGCTGACACTTCCAAACTGACCGCGAGCATTCCATGTAACTACGGGGAAAGTTTCGTCGGCAGGAAAGAGAAAGGAACGGCGCAACCCCAATCTCCCCAAGAACGAATTGCGCCTCACAAAAGCGGTCATCACGCAAGAGAAAGGCAACGTCCTGCGCCAGCCACCCAGCCACCAGCGGAGCACCCTCGTAAGAAGACTCACATAAGAAAAAGACACCCAACTGACCTAACAACTGGTCCGCAATCAACTGCTACTTCCCACCGATACCAAGAGCCTCGAAACACAGGCGAACGCGATAACCCTGACATCTCGAGCGCCGAGGCGGGTTTCGAAACATGATAGAGCTGACCGCATCACCCGAAACCTCGTTCGAAGCGAAAACGAACCCGTTGCCGACCGGCGAGTCAGCAGACCACCCTTTGAGCACTGGCGTTGAAGAGGCCCTCGAACTCGTCGCGAGTCTTACCCATGACAGTCAACTACTCGTTCGTCTCAGCGTTGTGGAGCGGCTTCAAGGGCAAGGTCCTGGGGCCCTCGGGGTCTTGGGCCCGAAACCTTCAGGATAGCGCTTAAGGAAAGCGTCAATCGTCTTAGCGGCTGCATCAGCAGAGGGAAAAGCAACCTTCACTTGCCTCGAGAAGTTCTGACGTGCTGCAAACGTGGCCATCTTCACCTCTTCTTCAGCACACGCAGAGAGAATGTGAGTACCATTCTCCTGCAAAACCTTAGGAACGAACTCATCACCGAACCCCACGAGGATGGCCTTGGACAAGAGAGCGGGACTTCCACAAAACACAGACAGAGCAGGACCTCGGAGCTGCTTGTTGGAACCACTGGAACCACCCTCATCATAACGAGTCCCACAGGTGGTGGGGTTCCAATTCCACATTTGTTCAAGCTCAGATTCCGTTTTCATGATGTTGGCACGCTGTTTTTAAAGACCCTCTCTGCAAGTTCGCCAACCTGGGCCGACACCATCGAGAGAGACTCATTCATCTTGGCCACCTGAGCCGTCAGTTCCTTGATCGCTGCATCAGACGGAGCCAGACCGGCTGCTACTCTAGCCGCGAGATCAATCGGGCTGGAGGAGAACGGCAAACAGGCAGAACGGGCAGGCAGCTGAGCCAGCAGCTCGAGCTCCCCCCGGCTGCGACCCAAGGTCGAAGCGCCAGAGAATCACGTTTCAACCTTGAGCCAAAATGGCTACGGATGAAGATGTATATGAGGATGTGGATGTGGATGAGGATGAGGATGACGACGAGGATGATGATGATGCTGTCGATGATGCTGATGATGATGCTGATGCTGATGCTGATGCTGATGCTGATGCTGATGCTGATGCTGATGCTGATGATGATGATGATGATGATGATGCTGATGATGAAGATGAGGAGGAGGAGGAGGAGGCGCAGGAGGAGGAGGAGGAAGAGACGGAGACGGAGACGGAGACGAGGAGGAGGAGGGATAGGAGCGAGGAGGGCTGGGAGCAGGGAGGAGGCGGCGGCGGCGGACGTGCGACGAGCTCCGCCCTCCCCCTTCCCCGGGAGCCTCCTGCCCGAGGGGCCGGGCGCGGCGGCGCGCGCGCAGTCCTTGCAGTGCCCGGCGGGCAGGCCCTCCGCCTGCGCGCGCCGAGCCCCTCCCGGGAGGGGGAATTCCAGATGCGCCTCCCCCTCCTCCTCCTCCTCCTCCTCCTCCTCCTCCTCCTCCTCCTCCTCCTCCTCCTCCACCTGCTTCCTCTTCCTCTTCATCCTCATCCTCCTGGCTCCCGTGAGTTCTGGGGGGTGTCCTGCGAAAGAGGGCCCCCCAGGCGCAAAAATTAAGTTTTTCAGTGGGTGTTTGAAGGATTTGGGCCTTCTCGCTCCAAGACGACCCAAAAGGCCCCCGAGATCACGTCAACACGGCCCCAGAGGCCCCTAAGAGGGCCCCAAGACGGCCCAAGAGGGCCCCAAGACGGCCCAAGAGGCCCCCCAATTGGCCCAAAGACGGCTTCAAGAGGATTCCCGGATGTGGAACCCGAACGAAGATTTCGAGCCCTCGGCCCCGAGGGGCCCCCAGGAGGCCCAAGAGCCCCCCAAAGGCCCCAACAGGCCACCAAGAGGCCCCCAGCAGGCCCCCAACAGGAGACCCCCAGGAGGCCCCAAAACTACCCCCAAGAGGCCCCCGAGAGCACTCCGAAGAGCATCCCTGGGAACTCTGACCCACAATCCAGGCACGGCGGCGGGATGAGCCAAAGGCCATCTTATATACACGTAGCACCCCGCAGATGCGGATAAGAGTGATGGGGGCGGTGGGGACGTCGGCAGTTTGCGAGACTTCGGAGAAGCCTTCCGCAGGCACCAACGATTCAAAATTATACTACGAGCCCGCCGCAGGCGCTGATTTTTCGACAAACCACTGTGGGTAGGTCGCGGGTGGGTCGCGGGTGGGTCGCAAATAGGTCGCGGGTGGGTCGCGGGTGAGTCGTTGTTGGGTCGCGGGTGGATCGCGGGTGTAGAGGGCACAAAATCCAACCCATAATAATCACCCCGACAAGCGAGGCCGTTTAGTGAACGCACACAAGGAATGAATCGAACAGGGCAGGGCTGTTTAGTAAACGCCCAGGGCCGTTTAGCAAACGTCAATTGTCGGGTCCGGGTGGTTTTTCCTCCCTTGAAGGTGGGTCGCAGGGTGGGTCGCAAGTGGGTCGCGGGGTGGGTCGCGGGTGGGTCGCGGATGGGTCGCGGGGTGGGTCGCGGGTGGGTCGCGGGGTGGGTCGCGGGTGGGTCGCGGGTGGGTCGCGGGTGGGTCGCGGGGTGGGTCGCGGGTGGGTCGCGGGGTGGGTCGCGGGGTGGGTCGCGGGGTGGGTCGCGGGGTGGGTCGCGGGGTGGGTCGCGGTGTGGGTCGCGGGGGGGTCGCGGGTGGGACGACGACAACAAACAACAGCAGCAACAACAACAACAATAACAACAACAAAGGCAGCAGCAGCAACAGCAACAACAACAGCAGCAGCAGAAACAACAAAAACAACGATCCTTTTAAGACTGTTCGCTCATGTCTGCTCACGTGCCAATCAATACGTGTATCCCAAGGCCTCGGTACCCGCCCGCATCGTCTTCGATCGTACCTCCTTGGGGGTATCTCTTCCTTACCTGCCAAGCGCATTCACCGCATCCCCAAAAACAAAGGAGCAGAGGACGGTTGAAGTGGGAGGGGAAAAAATGGAGAACGAGAGAAATTAGCAGGGGGGACTTAAGCAGCAGAAAACAAGTGGTAGAACCAGACGGGCAGATCGGGTGGGCAGACCCAAAGCGGGCAGGTCGGAAGGCGGGCCTAGGCGACCAGGTCGAGCGGGCGGGCGGGCCGAGCGGGCGGAACAATCGTGAGTTCTGCGCGATTAGCCAAACAGTTTCCAGCGAGAGAGCGATTCCTAAGTAAATTTGAGGAAGTCCCCCGCGAACGCGCGATTCCTGAATGGCAAGAGCGCGGCGCCTGAATAAATTGCTAGGAAGTCCCAGGCGGGAACGCGATTCTTGAGTAAACCGCGAAGGAGTCTCAAGCGGGAGCGGGAAACCGGAGTAAATCTTGAGAAAGTATTAAGCGGGAGCCGCTGTTGTTGTAAGCCGGGGGCCAACTGATAAAAAAGGGAGCGAGAGCCGGGAGTGGCACTTAAATTGAAAAATACAATGTGCAACGGAGGGGAGATCAACAATAGTTCTTCTTCAATAGTGAGAGTTCAACAACGGCAACTTCTACTACTACTACTACTACTACTACTACTACTACTACTACTACCACTACTACTACTACTACGACTACTGCCACTACTGCCACTACTACCACTACTACGACTACTACTACTACGACTACTACTACTACTACTACTACTACTACTACTACTACGACTACTACTACTACTACTACTACTACTACTTACTACTACTACTACTACTACTACGTACTACTACTACTACTACTACTACTACTACTACTACTACTACTACTACTACTACTACTACTATTGCCACTCCCGACTACTACTACTACTACTACTTACTACTACATACTACTACTACTACTACTACTACTACTACTACTACTATTACTACTACTACTTCTACTACTACTACTACTACTACTACTACTACTACTACTACTACTACTACTACGACTTCTACGACTACTACTATTACTACTACAAATAAAAATTACCCTGGCGACGTACCCAACCCCTGCGCAAAAGCGGGGCGCAAATAGTTTAGGATACTTTATAAAGGGGCGATGACGGAGCGAGGGTTACATATGTCTGCAGACGGAATTCGGTAGACTCGCAGGACACTGGCTACAGGAAAAGGGCTTGATAAAGCTGATGATTTACAATTCTTGAGCACTCCTAGCCACTTCGAAAATGGGGATCACAGCAGGCCTCGAAAGTGGCGACAGGTTCACAGATCGCAGCCCCGCAGGGATGGCGAGGTCTCATTTGAATCTGCCCGTGGCCCTCACTGTGCTGGGCCCCCCAGCAGGCCTCGAAAATGGCGGCAGTGTCGCAGATCGCAGCCCCCCAGGGATGGCGAGGTCTAATTTGAATCCGCGCGTGGCCCTCACTGTGCTGGGCCCCCCAGCAGGCCCTCCTGGATTGGCGACCGTTTCCGTGCAGACTCCAGCCAAGGCCCCCAGGGGACGGCGGTCTAATTTGATCTGCGCGTCGCTTTAATTTGAATCTGCGCGTGGCCCTCACTGTGCTGGTCCCCCCAGCAGGCCTCGAAAATGGCGACAGTTTCGCAGATCGCAGCCCCCCAGGGATGGCGAGGTCTAATTTGAATCCGCCCGTGGCCCTCACTGTGCTGGCCCCCCAGCAGGGCTCGAAAATGGCGACAGTTTCGCAGATCGCAGCCCCCCAGGGATGGCGAGGTCTAATTTGGATCCGCCCGTGGCCCTCACTGTGCTGGGCCCCCCAGCAGGCCTCGAAAATGGCGACAGTTTCGCAGATCGCAGCCCCCCAGGGATGGCGAGGTTTAATTTGAATCTGCCCGTGGACCTCACTGTGCTGGGCCCCCCCAGCAGGCCTCGAAAATGGCGACGGTTTCGCAGATCGCAGCCCCCCCAGGGATGGCGAGGTCTCATTTGAATCTGCCCGAGGCCCTCACTGTGCTGGGCCCCCCAGCAGGCTTCGAAAATGGCGACAGTTTCGCAGATCGCAGCCCCCCAGGGATGGCGAGGTCTAATTTGAATCCGCGCGTGGCCCTCACTGTGCTGGGCCCCCCAGCAGGCCTCGAAAATGGCGACAGTTTCGCAGATCGCAGCCCCCCAGAGACGGCGAGGTCTAATTTGAATTTGCCCGTGGACCTCACTGTGCTGGGCCCCCCAGTAGGCCTCGAAAATGGCGACAGGTTCACAGATCGCAGCCCCCCACGGATGGCGAGGTCTAATTTGAATTTGCCCGTGGCCCTCACTGTGCTGGGCCCCCCAGCAGGCCTCGAAAATGGCGACAGTTTCGCAGATCGCAGCCCCCCAGGGATGGCGAGGTCTAATTTGAATCTGCCCGTGGCCCTCACTGTGCTGGTCCCCCCAGCAGGCCTCGAAAATGGCGACAGTTTCGCAGATCGCAGCCCCCCAGGGATGGCGAGGTCTAATTTGAATCAGCGCGTGGCCCTCAGTGTGCTGGGCCCCCAGCAGGCCTCGAACACGGCGACAGTTTCGCAGATCGCAGCCCGACCGCAAGGCAAGACAAAAGATGGACGTCCGAGAAGGAGGATACGCGACCACACTGCTCTATTCAAAAAAACGATACCCAACCAAAGAGGGTTGGGAACAAATACCACTACTACTACTACTACTACTACTAACTACTACTACTACTATAATACTACTACGACTACTACTACTACTACTACTAACTACTAATACCAGTACCACTACGTACTACAACTACTACTACTACTACTATTACTACTACTACTACTACTACTACTACTACTACTACTACTACTACTACTACTACTACTACTACTACTACTACTAGGGGCACGTGTGCCATGGCTCTTGCACAAAAAGGAAGGGGGAGGAGGAGGAGGTGGAAGAGGAGGGGGGAAGAGGGGGCCAGACATCGCAGAAGGAGTGAACAAACAGGGCCGCAAGAGGAAGTTCAGAGGGCGAGCTCGAAGAGACGTCAAGGGGCGCCCTCCGCAAGATGGACCCAAAGACCTTTAAAAGGTTCCCAGGAAGCCTCCAACAGACACCCGAGAAGCCTACAGAGGGTTCCAAGAGGAGGCCTCCAGGGTCCAAGGAGGGCCGGAAGAAATTACTCTGGTGACCTAGGTGTTGGAGGCTCGCGGTGCAAAGTACGTTGCGGCCTTGTGCTGGGAACGCTTGTCTACGGCAGGCGTTTTGCACACAGTCTGTCGGGTGTATTCTCAGGGGCCGGCTATGCGCCACTTGAATAGGGGCCTCCCCCACAGTCCAGACTTCCGGCCCGAGCCGTTTCGCTCGCTCACACCGGAGCGTTCAGGAGCGGCGCCCCCGACGACGACGACGACGACGGCGGCGACGGCATCGGCGGCGGCGCGGGAGGTGAGAGGGGACGGGTAGAGAGGGTGAAAGGGGGAGGGCTGAGCGGGGGTGGTGAGAGGGCCGAAAGGAC